GGTGCCGATATCCCCCCAGAGTTGCTTCTAAACATCTTCATCAGGTTTTTCCTGTGGATACCTGCCGATTTGTTTAGCTCAACTTCGCATTTGATTTCTATCCATTCTCATCTTTATTTTCTGTTCTTGGTTCGCATATCTGTCAAATTGACTGCTTCAAATCCGTCCTTGCCCTTTTTCAAGCTTCCATTAATATGTCTCCTTTAATTCCTTATCTTTGTTTTCTCATCTCTAATTACATGCTCTATGATCTACCCACCTAGACCTATATGTCGGTGTAAACCATTTCTGTACTTTGGTAACCTTTATTGACTACTTGTCTGTGAACTACTCTGAACACCAAGCCGTTCTTTTTTTTATCCTCAAGCTTACTTATATGATGTGTACTTCTACCTGGTTCCTTTTTTCTTCTTAATTTGACAACAACACTTCATATTTATGTCTTTTTCCCAAACTATCTCAAAAATTCGATCATTAATGCAGGATTATCCCCACTCACAACAGCGCGCATTTCCATTCCTCTATTTCACCATTCCTAGCGCCTATGTTCGTGTTGCGTTCTTGCGCCATCTTTCTTCTCGATTGTCACCACCCTCGACTTAGACTCCTTTGAAAATCGTTTCATTCGTTTGGGTTCAATTTTATTTCCAAACCCATTGCTTCTTTTTCTAGGTTTCTTCAAACTCACCCATTTCTGAGTGCTCTTTGCTACAATTACTCATGCTTTATGTTCACTTATGTTCACTCTTCGACTCTATCTTTTGTTCTTGTATATAATCATGCTCTTCAGTCCTAATAATTAGTCATATCCACATAATTTTTCACTGATTTTTATTTGGAAATACTTAGATAATGCTTCTAGCAGCTATGTCAACATTTCACGTGGTCATGAGGGGAAACAGATAGCCTGGTGACACGTTGGCCCTGTATATGAGCGAGCTGCAACTATCGTGCGTCTTTTCTTATTGGCTGTTTTCTCATGCTATCCCAATTTCTTCGCTTTCTTCCCTTTCGGAAGTCTCTCCCTTTATCATAATCTTGCCCTCCATCCACCTTAGTCATGAGCCGAGCCCAGCCTCACGTCTCCCTGAAGTTGCAGAATTAGCCGCCCGCTACATGCTTTTTTCCCAATCTGTTTGACTGTAAAATTGTCGATATGACCCACCAAAAGGCGTCACTTCATAATCTCGGCTTGGCTGAGGCAAATTTTGTTTCATTTTGTATCTATAGAAATGCAGACTGTACACTTAACAGTTTTAGAGTCTAGATGACTTTAATATTTTCTAGCTTTCTACTTTCATCTGGTCTGTCAGTTTTACCAGCTCTATTATGTTCTGTCACCCTTTCATTCTTCCCTCAGCACACATATACATGCAACATACCTACGAAAAACGAATATCACCTTTCTTACAGACGGGGATTACGCATTAGGGGTTCCATCAATTTGGTATGCATTCGTTAGTTTGAGAAAGAAATCTGATGTGCAAAAGTTTGTATTCCCTTTCCTCTCATTTTCTTCTGATTCGCAACTGTCAAGATATCACTGACTTTCCCTTACTCTTTGTTTCCGTTGGTCGCTGTGGTCTTAATCAAGTTTCATTGCTCATTTGCCTCATTACCCATGCAGCCAGGAGCCCAAGCAGTGACATTTACAGACATTCACCTACACACGCGGACACTGATGGATTCCCGTCGGTGCTTACCTGTAAATTACTTTTCAAATTCTCTTTATAATAGAGACAAACTATTGTCGAACAAACAGGACTTCTATTAAGAACATTGTTTGGGGGTTGTGGTTATCCATTTAATTAGACGCCTGCTATTCCTAATATCTGCATTTTATCATCAATACATGTTGTCATGCTCGGAAAGGAGGCATTTCCTAATTGTATGTTTATGCCAATTGTGAAGTTTTAGCTTGGTCGTGAACACTCGAGACTGTGCAGTCTGAACCTACAGACATGCATTGGGGCGGTGCTAGGCGACCCGGCTGCATTGGCCTTAAACTGCGCTACCAGTCTAACAAATGGCGAGGTAATTGCTCTCTTACCTATGCTAAAAAGGGTCGCAGAATATGCACTGATCTATCATTCGTTGCCTATGACAGATATGACCGGTCATATGTGAGAAACTGTTTAGGTGCTGTCTGATGGGATCCAATAAATCACGAGATTTCCGACAAAAACTGGATCATTTGGCAGTATTTTAACGTGTGAGAATATATCAACATGCCCGCGAAACGTTAGATTATGCTCGATGAATATTGAGACAGGATTGGTTGCTGACTTTCATTTCATGTGGGAAGATTCGTCGGCCGACTTCACAATAAGACGACGGCCAATTGCGTTTCTGCATTAGTTTGCTTTTGCTACGACTTTCAGGTCTACGAGACATCTCGCCCGACCTGGGGCGAAAACTCAGCGAGCTTTCGCTCGTCATATAGCAGACATCTCCAGAGCTTGAGGTCATTCCTGCGAAGGGTGGTTACTTAATTAATTTTCTGTCATGATTATAAAGTAGTCAGGATTGTGATCGCATGTCTAAAAGTGATCGACACTGATTTGTGAGAAGATAAGCTGAAAAACTCAAATGCCCCTTGTCTAAAGGAAGTAATATAACAAAATATATGGGTTGTGATAAGTAGATTGAAAGATAAACAAACAAATGGGAGCAGTGGTTGCTGTCTGCCTATTCGCTAACTGGCCATGAAGTTACAGCTATTAATAATAAAATAAGGCACTTATACAGGCCTGAAGAGGTCGAACTGTTCACAAGCTTGCATGCAGAACATAAAAGAAGTAAACGAAATCAGGTGCTCTAGAATTTACTGCAACACAAAGATTGTCGGTACACATATATTGAAGACGGGAAAACAATCAGCACATAGATGAAGGAAACCGAGCGACTGAAGAATTATAGGCACTAAAAGCTCGAATATAACCGGTTGCATTGCATTGACTGGCCGAACCATCGACTGAAATTCAAAGGTGGTAGATCAAGGAAGATGTGAACATCCTCTCCCAGACGGGCTTAGAGCAGTGGTTCCCAAACTTTTCCTAGTCGCGACGCTTTTTTTAAATTAAAATTTTTCCATGGCACCCTACCCTAAGTATGTCTATTCGTGAGATAAAAATAAATAAAACTCGTGTATCTTCACTATTTTTTTACTTTATTAACATTAAATTAATATTTTATAATTAATGTGATGGATGAGCCTGCAAATCACTGCACATTTTCTCAAATTGAAGCTTTTACAATATTTCGCGGCGCACACTTTGGGAATCACTAACTTAGAGAATAGGGCATACAGAAAGAAGGGTCAGTTGCAATTTCGCTTAGTGTTTGAGCCGATAGGTAGACTTGGGATTAATTAAGGACAGGAAAAGACGTTAATAAAATGACCGTAGGCAAAAAGTGTAAATCAAGAGAAGGCGATTGTAGTGTGAGAAATCTAATGAAAAAGCAAACTTCGTTTACATGGGCAAGGCTTATGAGATGCGATTTCCAGCATCGGACCATTGGCTGGGTATATTCCCAAACGTTTCACCGGCATCGCCAGTGAGAATGTCTTCGTAACAACTGATATAACTCGCATTCTGCCCTCCCTTTTTTTCTACACGCATGTCAATTGGCCGGTGCGAAACATCAAAATCATGGTTTGGCTTATTTTTCGTGTAAAGGCAGAGTTTCAAGATTACCAGTAAATCAGTAATATGAGATGTATTCACCCTATTTCGTTTAAGGTGATGAATTACTGGTAGTAGAATTTTCCCACATTGATATTAGTAGAGCTGACGTTTCCATTGAAGTTCACATAGCTTTGCTTCCCAAAAGTTGTTCTCATCCGCGTTGGACTGCAATTTCGACCTCG